CAAAACCTATTAATAAACACTTTAATATTAATCGATATAAAATGTCATGTCTCATGGTGCAATTTGCAGAAAAAAGCAATTAGTTTAAATGTTTCTAAACTCTAGGTATTACTTGACCAGATATACAATTTGCATCCACTGAGATGCCTTGACCACTATTAAAACACAAAAACTAACAATTTGAACGACTCTTCTAAAGTCTGTAATCAATCTAATTATTGCACATTATCAATATTTTAGCTATTAGTTGGATACTTATATGACACTTTATGGAGAGTAAATTTAGTTTGAAACTCGTACTTAAGAGTAAAAAATGTAAGTTTCTTATTGCAACAAAAGTCAATCAAAATTTAAAAAAAAATGATAGAAATTAGCTTTATTAAATTATTCTTATTTTCATACAATTATAAGTTACCAGCAAAACATTTGTGTAATTTGAGTATTAGTGACTAACATTTTTTTTTAAAAGTAAAGACTCTTACCTAAATTCTGAATTTCATATTAATTTTTGATAAAAAAGTTTGACGACGCTTGTAGCAAATTTGGGATTGTTTTTTCTTTGTAAAATCTTAAATCTTGAATAGAGTATTTAACATTTTTTTTTAAAAACACAAAAGAATACTTAATTTAACTTTCAATTAAATAATGTGCACTTAAAAATCGCAAAATTTCAGGTTTTCAGATGAAGATATCATCGAATTTCCTGTGAAAATTCTCCGACTTGGCCGTTTTCACCCAACTCTTAACCCTCGATGGTCAAACATACTTTGGCCCCTGAATTTCATAATATGTAATATTTTCATAATTRTGGCAATTAAAGGAATTTTRATGTCCATCAATGACGACCTTTTCTTCATGTGTGAATGCATACAAACCATTATTTTAATGCTACATGTAGGAAAACCACGATTACCAATCGTCAAATCAAATTTACTGAATTTTTCAGGGAATTGTGAAATTCTCAAATTTGCATTTCTACAAATCGGACATGTCTTCACTMTTGAGCCAACARGAYAYATTTTGGAAYTTGAAAAATTTCACACAATCGGGAYATGTATATTTGGAATGTAAAAAAATGGACCAAACAATCAAAAAAATTGTGCGAATTTTCTGCCTCTTGTTCATAATTACAGCAACTTTCTTCGACTTGTTGCCTTTCAGCACTGGTTCTTTGCCCACTGGATGTTACGCACCTGAAGGGTGGTTCAAACCCTTAACTGTCATACTTTGGTACACTTCTGGTTTTTTCTGTATTATTTTTATGGGGACAGATTGTCTTTACTGCTCCCTTGGGACATCACTCWMTATACAATTCAAACTTTTGGGTCARAAATTCAAAAACATTTCGGTTTTGAGTGAAGACGAGTTATGGAACGAATTGAAGACTTTGGTGGATTATCACAATTTTTTATTAGAGTGAGTGATAAAAAATCAAAATTCGTTTTAGTTATTTTTTTCAGTTATTGTAAGACACTGAATACTGCTTTTAAGAACGTGTTTTTGCTCCAATTTTTCATGTCGATCGCTTCAGCTTCGGTTTCTGTTTTTATTTTCATGCAACCGTAAGTCATTTTGAAATTTAATCTTGTTTTTCATATTTTTTTCAGTGGGGACTGGACCAACAGAATAAAATTTCTCTTATATTTTGTCGCTGTTTTAGCTGAAAGTTCATATTATTGTATTCCTTCAGAGATTATTAAAAACTCGGTGAGATTACAATTAAAGAAAAATTGATTAATAACTGTAATTTCAGGCGAGCGAATTAATTAATTCTTTGTATGAGTCAAAATGGTACAATTGTGAAGTTTCACAATTTAAAAAGTGTCTAATTCTGGTTATTGCCCGAGCCCAAATTACTCTCAATTTCAGTGGATACGGTTTGATTTATATTAATTTACAAACTTTCATTGTTGTAAGTTTTGATTGATTGGTGAAAACATGTTTCAGGATTTTTTGCAGATCTGTAAAACGGTGTTCACATTTTACACTTACTTYAATTCAGCGAAAAAAATTTCAATGGACTGAAAAATATGAAAAAAAAATTGTGACATTCAGTTTAATAAAAATTAATAAATAAATAGTTTTGTTTCTTTAATAATCTTCTTTTTGCGGAATTTTGCTAGACGGGATTGCAAAATCACCACTTTGAGTCGAAAGTTGTCTCTTCTAGCGTTTTAGTACCGTTTTTTTTAGCCGGAATTAAAATTTTAACAAAAATATACAAAAAAACAGTAAAATTAGGTCTAATTGATGTAAGGTCGCAAATAACGTTATTTTTGCCTTTTTCATTCATTTTATCACATTTTCAGTCAAAAACGCAATTATGTAGAAAAATTCTTCCATAAATAAGGCGAAAAAACGCCGAATTTGGATATAAATTGTGGTATTTTTGCATTTTTTTGGGCTTTTAAGTGCGTTTATAGCCATGCAAAATTTCGTTCAAAATTACGTAAAAAAATTTTAGGTCAAAAATTGTCTTATTTTTGCTTTTTTCGAACGCTTAAACGTGTTTTTAAGCTAAAAACACAACTTGTTCAAAATTAGGTCAAAAATTTTGTTATTATTTTATTTTGAGCGCTTTAGCAGCTGTTCAGCCAGAAACTTAATTGTTTTTGTAAAACTTTGTCAACAATAAACCAAAAAACGCATCAAATTGTCAATTTTTTGCATTTTTCGAACATTGAAGCATGTTTTTGGGCTAAAGATTTTGTTAAATTAGATCGAAAAATCACTAAAATTGCTCAAAAATAACATTATTTTTGCATTATTCGAGCATTTGAGCGCGTTTTTCAGTCTTAGTTTTTGTGTAATAATTTTTTTAAGTATGTTTTTGACACCAAAACTACTTATTTGAAAAACTAAGTAAAATTGACAAATTTATACACTTTGTAGGTCGTTTATTCGAATAAAATCAAACATTTTTTTAAATGTTGCAAACTATTGAACAAACTTTTCTCCCTGGTTTTTCTAATCCAATTCCTGAACTCCATAGCTGCATTGGCCGTCTCAATTTTCATTTTCAGCAAACCGTAATTTAGTACCCCATCACGACTTTTTCATTTTTGAATTTTTCAGAGGTTCATGGAACAACAGATTTAAAACATTGATGTATCTAGTGGTGGCCCTGTTCGAAAATGCGTTTTATTGTGTTCCTGCTGAACTAATTTCAGCCGAGGTAACCACCACGCGCCATTTGCAACCACTGAAAATCGGTTTCAGGCCCTGAAAATCGGTGATAACGTTTTTTTTTTGAAATGTGGCACAGTTCAAGAAATGTCTCGTAATCGTGCTGTGCTATGCCCAAAAAGCGATCATTTTTTCAAGTTTTGGGATAACCAACATGAACATGCAAACTTTTGTTCTAGTATTGAAAAAATTAAAAGAAAAAAATTTTTTTAGATCACCAAAACTGCACTCTCTTTCTTCGCCTACCTCAACCAACTGAAGAGATAAAAAAAAATTCGTTACAATCATGAATATGTAAACTACGCTAAGTAAACCCTGAAACTGAAATAAATTTCCTGCAACGCTTTTAAACACCTGCCCCCAACTCATCTAATTTTTAATCATGACCAAAGTTTTAAACGGGAGGAATTTCGATTTTACGACTGTAATCAAAGACAGCTGGAATTTTTAATAATGTCATTTCATTCTGACAGTTTGTGTTGTTATTATTTTGCACGCTTGTAGAGAATTGGACCAAAAGTAGGTAAAATTACGTTTTTGTTGCTTATTTGTGTTAAATAAACTTGTAAAAAGTTGATTTTAGTTTGATTTTTCGTAAAAGTAGTTCATTTTTGTTGCAGGTAGTGTAGTTTGAGTTTGCTGTCATGCCTAAGAGAAGCTACACGTAAGTTGTGATTCCATTTAACGCTTTCTAGGTTACTTATTGAGTAGTTAATTATCGTTATCCAGGGCCGTAACCAGAATTTTATTTCGGGTGGGGTAAAAATACAAATTAACTCACAAAAGTAACAAAAAATACAATACATTTTTAATACTTTTTATTGTTACAAATTTAAACAGGAGATAGAATATTCATTTTTAAAACAAAAATTTTCTATGCTACGCAATGGGTGGTCTTTTAATAGTTTTTTTGTCAATATTTTTGAAATCATTTTAGAAAAAAAATTCAAAATTTATACACCTAAACAAGTACAAAAATAAAATGTTGAAATTTTTAATTAGGGGCTTCTTAAACTAGATGGGATTAGGGTAAAAATGTATTCTGACTATTTTGCCTGTGGTTTCTTGCCACTTTCAGCAACAAAATTTCATAGTTTTTCATAAAAAAAAGGTCTTTTGTGTTTTTCTGATACAATTTGCGGATTTTTAGTTAAAAATCGGTTTAAAAACTTATGTTACAGACCATAAACAACATGAAAATTAAAAATTAAATTTGTTTTACCGTTTAGGACGCCCTTGATTAAAATTTTGTTATTTGGCATTTGTTTAGGTGTACATATAAAGGTACCAAATTTTTTAATTTTATCTATTATGAAATATTAGAAAAAAAACCTTTAAAAAACGTACCTTTTTTAGAAGGTGTAGCTCCCTTTCATAGCATTTTTCGAAACACTTTTGCCTTAAAATTAAATATTTTATCTAACAATAAAAAGGAAACACTGTATAATTAACACATGAAAAATTAATTCAGAAAAATTTAAAATTAACCCACTGAAATAACAAATAAACTAAATTTTTAACACTTAAAAGACTATGTAACAAAGAGCTCAGCATTTCGTGAGGGTTTGAACCCCCTAATCCCCCCCCTTGGGTACGGCCCTGTTCTAGGTTACTTATTGAGTAGTTATTTATCGTTATCCAGGGCCGTAACCAGAATTTTATTTCGGGTGAGATAAAAATACAAATTAACTCTCAAAAGTAACAAAAAATAAAATAAATTTTTAATACTTTTTATTGTTACAAATTTAAACAGGAGATTTTTAAAACAAAAATTTTCTATGAATATATAAAGATGCTACACAAGAGGTGCGTCTTTTAATAGTTTTTTTGTCAATATTTTCGAAATCATTTTAGAAAAAAAATTCAAAATTTGGTACAGATGATGACTTTTATACACCTAAACAAGTACAAAAATAAAATGTTGAAATTTTAAAATTTATTCTAACTATTTTGCGTGTGGTTTCTTGCCACTTTCAGCAACAAAATTTCATAGTTTTTCATAAAAAAGGTCTTTTGTGTTTTTCCGATATAATTTACGGATTTTTAGTTAAAATTCGGTTTAAAAATTTATGTTACAGACCATAAACAACATGAAAATTAAAAATTAAATTTGTTTTACCGTTTAGGACGCCCCTGATTAAAAATTTTGTTATTTGGCATTTGTTTAGGTGTACATATAAAGGTACCAAATTTTGTACTTTTATCTATTATGAAATATTAGAAAAAAAACTTTTAAAAAACGTACCTTTTTTAGAAGGTGTAGCTCCCTTTCATAGCATTTTTCGAAACACTTTTGTCTTAAAATTAAATATTTTATCAACTATTTAAGTTTGTACCTAACAAAAAAATGAAACACTATATAACACATGAAAAATTAATTCACAAAAATTTTAAATTAACTCACTAAAATAACAAAAAAAACTAATTTTTTAACACTTATAACACTAAATAACAAAGTGCTCAGGTTTGAACCGCCTAATCCCCCCTTGGGTACGGCCCTGTTCTAGGTTACTTATTGAGTAGTTATTTATCGTGAATTCTCCTCGCATTAAAATTTAACATCCTTTGATGACACACATCGCTTTGAGATTAAAAATAGTGCAAGTTGTAATATTGGACGGCTTTTCATGCAAGAAAATGAGATGTCTATGTGATGGATTTTAGTTAGTTTTAATACACTGAGCTTCGGAGTCTTTGGGATTTCCGGTGACCGGAAACTTATCCTCTTTTTTGTTCTTTTTCATTATCGACGAGTTTCGATTGAGTGCTTTTGCGACAAAGTTTGGGTGAGTGCTCAATCCAGCGTCTCTTCAAAGCTAATTAATTAAAAAATATAAAGAATCATGTAAGCAATTTTCGATTCTGCCGCCATATTATGAACTAAAATTGGCGGCAAATTTAAACGATTTTGATTTAACGATTTTATTTTTTTGTAATTTTAACACAAATAATCGAAATTGTCAATACAACGTGTTGTAAGTAAACAAATACAATTGGCTTAAGTTGTTTATTTTGCATTTTTACAAAGTTAATAAATAACTAAAAGAAACAAATAAATGGATTTGGTTTTCACATCTGACGCAAGCTAAAAAATTCGTATTTTTACATTATTTTGCCCTTAAAATCTAAAACTCTAAAAAAAATTCAAGAGGAAACACATTGTTATAAAATGATTTAATGTTATAATTATCTCTCTTTTTTGCTTTGTTATTAGTATTTTTTTAAATATGGATTATATCAAATATTTCCGAAAAAAATGTGTACAACTAATTCCAATTCTAAAAAAATCCACCAAAATTCCAGTAATTCCTAAAAAAATTCCAGTAATTCTTATAATTCATCGTAATTCCATTTTTTTTTTTAGAATAATTACAGATTAATTAAATGAAATTAGTTCCAACTTAACTCCTGTAATTCCAAAATAATTTCTGTAATTCCATATGAAATAGTTTTAAGAAATTCAACTTAATTTTGAAAGAAATTATACATATAAGTGTCCTTGAAATAATTCCAAAAAGAATTCCAGCAATTTCAGAAAAATTCCAGTAATTCCAAACAATCCAAAAATAATTTCAGTAATTCCAAATACTTCCAAATAATTCCAAGCAATTTCCGATTAAATTCCAAAAATTTGTACAACTAATTCCAGCCCTTCGCTTATGACTATTTTAAAACAAACTAAACGTGTTTAAAAAAAATGCGACTTGTGAAAAAAACCTAATATAAAACAACGAGTGGTCGTTAACTTAGGAATTAGTTGTACAATTTTTTGAAATTTAATCGAAATTGCTTGGAATTATGGTTTAGAATTACTAGAATTATTTGTGAATTACTAGATTTTTTTAGAATTACTGGAATTGTTTTTGGATTTATCGGAGACAACTTTTTTGAAAATATTTTTAATTTCTTAGAACTATCTGAATAATTTGTAATTACAGCAATTAAGTTGGAATTACGATAATTAATTTGAAATTATAGGAATTAATTGGAAAACAATGATTTTACAACGGATCATTAAAATTTCGGTGAAATTACTTTGGAATTGCTTCAATTTTGGTGGATGGTTTTGGAATTACTATAGAATTTTTTTTTGAAATTGAAATTAGTTGTGCACAGTTTTTTAAGTAAACGTCTTCCCGGTCTGACCGGTAACTTTGAAATTAGTTGTATAAATTTTTAGAATTTAGTCGAAATTGCTTGGAATTGTTTAGAATTACTAGAATTATTGGTGAATTACTACATTTTTTGGAATTACTGGAAATGTTTTTGGATTTATCCGATACAACTTTTTTTGAAAATACCTTTAATTTCTTAGAGCTAACGGAATAATTTGTAATTACAGGAATTATTTTAAAATTACAAGTTAAGTTGGAATCAAAGGAATTAATTTGGAATTATAGGAATTAATTGAAAAACAATAATTTTACCAACGAATCATTAAAATTTTGCTGATTTTATTTTATAATTATTAGAATTTAAGTGGATTTTTTGGAATTTTTTTTGGAATTAGAATTAGTTGTGCACATTTTTTTAAGTAAACGTCTTCTCAGACCGTTAACTTTGAAATTAGTTGTATAAATTTTTAGAGTTCAATCGAAATTGCTTGGAATTGTTAGAATTATTAAAATTAATGGTGAATTACTAGATTTTTTTGGAATTACTGGAATTGTTTTTGGATTTACCGGAAACAACTTTTTTGAAAATACTTTTAATTTCTTAGAACTATCGGAATAATTTGTAATTACAGGAATTATTTTAAAATTACAGAAATTAAGTTTTAATCACAGGAATTAATTTGAAATTATAGGAATTAATTGGAAAACAATGATTTTACCAACGGATCATTAAAATTTTGGTGAATTTATTTTGGAATTATTAGAATTTAGGTGGATTTTTTTTGGAATTACGATAGATTTTTTTTGGAATTGGAATTAGTTATGGACATTTTTTTCAAGTAAACGTCTTTTCAGACCGTTAACTTTGAAATTAGTTGTATAAATTTTTAGAATTTAATCGAAATTGCTTGGAATTATTTAAAATTACTAGAATTATTTGTAAA